ATGAATAGTAGTAAACAAGATGTCACTTCCTGACTTCATTGCTTACTACTTGTGAAATCTGCGAATGATCACAGAGGTCACATGGTACAAGGCTATTCACAACAGCCTTGTACCATGTGACAATCTGTGACCAATCACAGCTCTCATAGTATTTCTCAATGGCTGCAAGAATACAGCCAGAGAGAAGAAGAAATGATTGCTTTTACAGCCTTTATGGGTGTAAAAGCAATCAGTGTAAAAAAAGAAAAAATATCTTCATCAACCCCCACAAGTAGTACAGTGTAATTATGGTGACATTGTACTGCTAGGGTGACAGTATGTTAAAAAAAAAACCCATAAATAATAATAAGAATATATTAAAAAAAAATGAAAAAGAAAATTTTTAAAAATTATAATTTTTGGTTATAAACTAATTTGGGTTATTTAGTTTTTTACTAAAAAGATAGATTAATACATTTTGGCCAATATTTATGAAGAAAGATTATTTATTTGCAAAAAAAAAAAACACTTTTAAAAAAAAGTTTTTGGACTTTTTCATTTATATAACAAAAAAATAAAAATCCCAGCGGTGATTAAATACCACCAAAATTAAGTTTAATCGGTCTCAAAAAAATGCTTAAAAATTAATATGGGTACAGTGTTGCATGACAGCGCAATTGTCATTCAAAGTGTGATTGCACTGAAAGCTGAAAATTGTCCTGGAGTGGAAGGGGGTGAAAGCGTCTGGACTTGAAGTGGTTAATACGCACTGAACCCACCCCTTTAAGGAAAGGTAGCTGAGTTATACATTCCCTCGAATTCATCTGACCATGGGTACAGGCTATGCACTACATTGTAGTGATCCTTCCAGTGGTGAAATTACAAAGTTTTTTGCCAAACGTTTGCTAATCACAACTTTTGGGATTTCTGGGGAATTGTGGAGAATCCATGGCAGCAGTGAACCCTAACCTCAACCCTACTTAAGATAGTCACTATTAATAAAAGAGTTTCATCTAGCCATCATACTACAGTTACACCTCTCCAGCAATGCCCACATTGGTTCAATAAGTAGTAAGTAATAGTCTGTTATTACTTACAGAGCAACAATTTTTTTTTTTGCATATAGGAATTGCCAAGAGAAGCCAATTGCATTTCATTCCATTGAAAGTTAATAAAAGTTTTATAAGTAACGGCCCATGTACACAGACCTATTTCTTGGTATTTATAGGGTGTAATGTACACTGGATGAATCTCTCTTAACAGAACATTCTTCATGGAGAAGAACAAATGATTAGCTACAGTTTCCTGAATAGCGACTCAGCGCATATTACAGTTTACGTTTACCATTCAACAACATATAGGCTGCAGATTCATACATCTCCCAGCTCTGCAGCCCAGGGCAGGTTGCTGTGGGTTTTAGTTTAAACAATAAAATAGTCTCACCACAAATGTGAAAACTAAAGATAACACAACCTTTCACAATCCTCTTTCTTTGCAAGACCTAATTTGCCTGATGAATATAAATTGTTAATGTCACCTGTAATTTGACCAAAACAATACAATTTATTTCCTTGTTGTGAAAACAATTTCCAGCCACTGGTACATTTCCCGACATTGTTATTAGATCCATGTACAAATAGGGAAGCCACAGTATCACACATAACATAGCATCATTACCTTGATTGCATAAAAACAGTCATTAAAGGTTGTTGGCTCAGCGTTGTGGCCCATCTGTTTGTTTTAGCATTATGACTTTGTGTTCCTATAAACAATCATTGTTATTAGATTGAACAGTTGTAATAGGAGTAGTCACATGTATTTAGCTTTAACATTATGTGCTAAACGGAGATCATAGCAATTTATAATATTGATTTGACACAATGTAAAATTCTACCTCAAGCGTAAACTTTCTGCAACTACAAACATAGTGGTTACTAGATTTCAGAATAAATACAACATGCACACTGTGCCCAGTTTTACAATGAGCAAAAAAAAGCCTCATCATGCAAAGTGTATACATGTTTTGTGATTTAAACACTCTCTCTATATTTAGTTTATTCTATAAATTGTGAATTCATCGTTGATACTGAGATTTTCCCATGTGTACTAAGCATTAAAAAATACAGTAATTTAAAGTAAACCTGTGGCCAGGATAAGAACATTTCAGTGTTTACATATTAATAGCAAGCAATACATGAGCTTTAAAAAAGTCCTCAATGTAAAAAAGTCCTCAATGACTTCTCTAGCTGTAGGTACTGTGGAGTAATTTATCCTCAAATTCAAAGAAAATGTATTGAAGTCTTTATATCTTAGCAAATCATATCACACTTCCCAAATTCTTTGCTCATACTGTACTCCACAATCTTCCAGCTGTCTAATTCCTATTGTAAACGATAGGAGTCTAGCTCTGAAATATATGTGCTTGTGAATGTCTCAGCATTTACACCAAAGTCACAAAGAATACCTGGAACTGCTATACAGAACAGCAACAGAATACAAAAAAAAAAAAACGCAATGGGGTTGATTTACTAAAGGCGAATAGGCTGTGCACTGCAAGTGCAGTTGCTTTAGATCCGAGGGGAAGCTATGAAATGAGGGGAAGCTCTGCTGATTTCTTTCATCCAATCATGTGCAAGAAAAAATGCTGTTTTTTTTTCCTTGCATGTTCCCCTCAGATCTAGAGCAACTGCACTTTCAGTGCACTTCCATTTTCCTTTAGTAAATCAACCCCATTGCTGCAAAGTCACAGCTCTGCTATTTACCATAGGTCACGGGTGTCAAATTGGCAGCCCTCCAGCTGTGGCCGAACTACAAGTCCCATGAGGCATTGCAAGATTGACAGTTACAAGCATGACTCCCAAAGGCAGAGGCATGATGGGACTTGAGGTTTTGCAATAGCTGGAGGTCCTTCAGTTTGACACCCCTGCCATAGGTGATCTGTTGCTCATCTGTGAAGGGATTTAGTCTGGTAAACTTGTCAAACAATGGAGTTCCATCTCTGCAACATTTCATCAATTCTGCATAGCAGTTCACTGCATGCAGTAGCTGATTCATTACACTTTTGCAGAGGTCTCCCTCATATTATTTTCTCTTCCAGTTGAATGTTCTTAACCTATAGTGTTAGCTATTTTCTCTGTTGGTTGCATATTATTTAACTCTTCTGGTCAAAGGTTCCTAAGGTTTTTGTGTCTTAGAGTGAGTGTTAGGGAATGCTCCATTTATCTTGTGAAAGGTAGCAAATAGAAACTGTCATTTCACACATATTACAAACATTGTGGGTATTAATTGTGACTTTTGCATAAATGCTAAGAAAATTACAAAGCCCTTTTTTAATAACTAGACTCCTAGGGTTGATTTAAAAAAATATATATTTTCAAGGGTTGTTACATATTTCCCTGAAGTGGAAATTCTCAGGTTTTCTCACTGAGCTGCTTAGGTGACATAATTAGCTTGAGCATAAAGTAATTTATTTCATATAGTGTTCTTTGTGTTTTTTTTTTTTCGTTACAAGTGACAATGTATATTAGTGACAATGTACAAATGTAGCAATCTAAACAAACACAAATTCATATTGTAGACTAGAATAAATTGAATTCTTTATTATAGCTTATAGGCTATTTATTTAAATGTTCTTTTTACATCTTTTTTTCTATCTTCAATAGTCATGAATGTTGGTAGTGTTATAGTTATATGCATATGAAATTTTGAATATGAATATTTCACATTTAAAACTCCTACCTGTCAAAGTTCTAGGAGTATTTTTATATATTTACTTGTTTATTTTTAGCTGCTAGGTTATAAAAAAAAATCTTATTCCATCCTGTTCAGATGGGTCAGCTGGAGTTTCAATAAGAGTGAAAGATTCTGATAACAAACAGCTTCTGCTATGCTCTCTTAAAGCCACAAATGCCCTGAACACAACTTAAAGTTCCAGTCAAATTGTAAAAATTGTAAAACAAATAAAAGTCAGCAGCTACAAAAACTGTAGCTGCTGACTTTTAAAAAACATCCACTTACCTGTCCCTTGATCCAGTGGTGTCCTCCCCACAGCCTGTTTCACTAGCCATCTTGTGTTCTCAGCGCCTGCATCTTTAGCGTGGGCACTTGGCTGTGACAGCTTGCGGATTCACAACTAGTTGTCCTCTGAGCATGCACAAGTAGTGCTGCGCTTTGTGAATGGTCCCGTAGTCTTCTGGGACCTGTCACATGTCCCAGAAGACTACGAGAAGGGGGGATGAGGACAACTTCTGCTTCCGATCGCCTAGGCCAGTGGTCTCCAAACTGCGGCCCTTTGCTTGCCTTTATGCATCCCTTGAGGCACTTTTCTTGCCATTGATACAATACACTATTCCTCCCACTGACACCAACAATGGGGCACAATTCCTGCTACTGACATCAGCAATGGGGACCATTGACACCAACAATGGGGCCCTATTTCTCCCACTGATACCAACAATGGGGCATAATTCCTGCTACTGACATCAGCAATAGGGCCCATTGATACCAATAATGAGGCCCTATTTCTCCCACTGACACCAACAACAGGGCACTATTCCTCCCACTGACACCAACAACAGAGCACTATTCCTCCCACTGACACCAATGAGAAGGCACTCAAACTGACAACAAAGATAGGGCACTATTCCTCCCACTAACACCAACAATAGGGCACTATTCCTCCCACTGACACCAATGATGAGGCACTATTCCTCCCACTGACACCAATGATAGGGCACTATTCCTCCCACTGACACCAGCAATGGGGCACCATTTCTCCCCCCTAATAACAAAGATGCATTGTTTACTCCCACTGACATCAGGACAATTTCAACTCCCAATGGCCACAGCTTGGCCCCCTTAACCACCTTCCGCCCGCCCCTATAGTACAATGACGGGCGCAAGGTGGTTCTCTCGTTCTGATAGGACGTCATATGACGTCCTACCATTCTCACTGTGCATGCGCGGCTCAGGGACACAGCAGATCATGGAAAGAGCCGAAGATGTCGGCTCGGTCATGTGATCAGCTGTGTCCAATTACAGCTGATCACATGTAAACACGGAAAATGCCGGTTATCGGCATTTCTCTCCTCTCGAGCTCTCACGCTGACAGCTCGAGAGGAGAGGAGAGCCGGTAATCGGCTTTCCGCGGAGGGGAAATGTACACTGATCATCAGAGCACTGATGATCAATGTGTCCTGATGATCAGTGTAGCCCCAGAAGTGCCACCTGTCAGTGCTCATCAGTGCCACGTACCAGTGCCCATCAGTGCCACACCAATGCCACATATCAGTGCATACCAGTGCACATCAATGCCACATATCAGTGCCCATCTGAGCTGCCTTTCAATGTCACCCATCAGTGCCAGTCAGTGCCACCTATCAATGCCAATCAGTGCCACCTACCAGTGCTACCAATCAGTGCCACCTATCAGTGCCAGTCAGTGTCGCCTATCAGTGCGCTTCAGTGCCAGTCAGTGCCGCCTATCAGTGCCAGTCAGTGCCGCCTATCAGTGCCAGTCAGTGCCGCCTATCAGTGCCAGTCAGTGCTGCCTATCAGTGCCGCCTATCAGTGCCATATATCAGTGTCATGTATCAGTGTCATGTATCAGTGCTGCCTTTCAGTGCCCATGAGTGATGCCTGTCAATGCCCATCAGTGCAACCTACCAGTGCCTCCTCATCAGTGCCCATCAGTGCAACCTATCAGTGTCCATCAGTGCAGCCTATCAGTTCCAATCACTGCAGCCTCATTAGCGCACATCAGTGAAGGAGAAAAATCACTTACAAAAATTGTATAACAAAAACTAAGAAAAAACTTTTTTTTTTCAAAATTTTCAGTGGTTTTTGGTTTGTTTAAGAAAAAATAAAAATCCCAGAGGTGATTAAATACCACCAAAAGAAATCTCTATCTGTCTAAAAAAAATTATAAAAAATTTCATATGGGTACAGTGTTGCATGACCACACAATTGTCATTCAAAATGTGACAGCGCTGAAAGCTGGAAATTGGCCTGAGCAGGAAGGGGGTATAAGTGCCCTGTAGGCAGGTGGTTAAACTCTGAAGGATAGTAAACTGGCCCTTTGTTTAGAATCGCAGCAGAAGTGGGAGCGGGTACCTGTCCATTTAGGGTACCTGCCCCCCCCTCCCACTCCCCAAAGAGCACTTTGTATTGCTGTTTATTTGTACAACAAAGATTGAATGTAAACAAATATATAAAACATCAGTCAAAAACATACCATTAAAAAGGACAAAAACAATATAAACCCAAAATTATGATAATATCACTTTTGTAAAATAAAGTGCAATGACTATGTGTAAAGTTCAATGACTATGTGTAAAGTGCACTAATTCAATGAAAATCTTATGGCTATTTCAGTACTAAGTGTTACGTTTTATCACATCTACTCATCATAAATAAATACTTCATACAAGGTGCCAGCTCAAGCCAAAATTATTATTGTTAGAAAACCCACCAAAAAAAAACTCTGAAATACTTGTAGCTTCACAATAGTGACAAAGGGTCAGTGGAGGGAACCACAACAAAAAATGATGGACCGTGCATTTAACTCTCACGGAGGTGTCTAATGTAGTAGATCTTTCAGCAAGCTTTCCTTTTTAATTCAGCAGAGGTCAGCAGGACAGGTAGGTATTAATTGTTTGGTTTGCAGGAAATAATTATTTTCACATTTTAAAATTAGCGACAGATTTGCTTTAAATATAGAATAGTAAAAAAAAGAAAATACACTTTCCAAAACTTTAGTCAGTCCAAATCTGCCAGATTTTTCAAACATTGCTTAAAATGAATCTTACCTTGTAATATTGTAGAAAAATAGAAACACCCTAACTTCCTGTATGCGTATTTGTTTTAGTAACTGGACACATTTAGTATCAGAGAACAAACTTTAAGATCACAAAATTTTTTTATTATTCATGAAGTATTCAAACTCATAAATTACACACTGGAAAGTGCTCAGAACTTTTCAACTTGCTGGAAGAAGATAATGCATAAAACATCATTTCCTAAGTTGGCTGTGTTTACCATTTTACAGTCATTTAAACTTGCATTTTCGCTCATGTTTTCAGTACAGGAAATTAATTTTTTACATTTACAATGATCAGAGAAAGGTAAAGAATAAGCAAAAAATTGTACAAGGATTTAATAAATCCTAGTTCTATATGTTAAAATTAAACAGATGTTATTTGATTGCCATTAAATCTGAGCCATGCAGTTCTCCACTAAACATTACATATGATGATATTTTACGGCAATAGATGAAATAGATTGATTTAAATTACTCAATTGTTTGCAGATCAAAGGGATTATTGTTGACAGTATCTTGATGTCCTCATGCTGTTTGCTGAAGGAGTTTAGCCAATGTCCTAGTAATGCTTGGATACAAGGAAATACGTGTATAGTGGTAGAAAAAGACTATAAATGTTATATATTTTATAGTGACCAGATTATGAAGAGCTCAAATTTTAAAACTTCAGTGGCTGTCTTATATTGACAAACTAGTGCAAACAATTGCACATCCAGCAATGTGCACGAGAGCAGAAGCTCTCCAGAGTGTCTTTCTCCTCATTGGTTAAGGCAAACTAGTGCAAACTATTGCACAAATATGTCAATCTGTAATTAAAAACTGACTTACTTTTGAGTTAAAAGGTTGGCGCTTTAAAACATTAAGACTAAGTGGTTCTAAAGGATGAATGTTTTTTACCTTCATGTATAATATGCATGAAGGTAAAAAACCTTTAGTGTGCAGCTCCTTTCTAAGCCCTCCCTTATACTTACCTGAGCCCAATTCTGATTCAGCAATGTGCATGAGAGCAGAAGCTCTCCTGGGTGTCTGCCTCCTCATCATTGGGTAAGACACAGTTAATCACAGCTAGTGAGGAGGGAGCGGGGTCCCTGTGTGTCTCATAGACACAGAGGTGGCTCAGGAGCGAGCACGTACGAGTGCCCCCAGATCAAGCAGCTTGCTCTGCGGGCACTTAGCAGGGGGGAGGGGCCAGGAGCGCCAGTGGGTGCTGTAGAAGAGGAGGATTGGGGCTGTTCTGTGCAAAGTCATTGCACAGAGTAGGCAAGTATAATATGTTTGTAATTTTTTTTTAATTTGAACCTTTACAATCACTTTAAGTTATGGATGTAGGACTATTTTATGAAACACACTCTTGAAATTCTAATTGGGAATTCCAGCATGTGCTATTGTTATTGATCAAAAGCAAATTCAACAAAATAACAGAACCAACACTATTTGACGTGTATTTCTACCTTTGTTAGGCAAATTAGGATAAAATCTACTTTTATATTTGCTACATGTTTATGGTATATAGCAAAAAATAGAAATTGATTCTTGCTCTTTTCTAAAAACTCCAAAACCAAAGAAGGGGATGTTATGTGTTTACCATAATTAATCTTATCTGAACTGTGCTGGCAGATATCATTATCAGTTGTAAACTGGACGTGCCCATTATCTGTCCTAACAAAGGGTTAAAGGTCTAAAGGCTCAGGTGGAATATTGTATGTTAATGCAGTTATAAACCAATCTGTCCACAAAGTTATTCTGAAGAAAACAAGCTACCCATAGAGTTCTATTTATAATCTATCTGGTATGCTGTGCAAATGGAACAGTATGACAAACATTTAGTGGGGCTTCTCAAATTTGGCTGTAAAGGTCAACATACACTTTAAAGCTATTTTTTAAATACTTTTACTGATTTTACCATTGTTATATTCTGTGGTAGAGGATTGCATAGTTTTTTTTTTTCCAAAAACAATTTTATTGAGAAATAAAGCAGAATGGTAACATATACAGGTTACATTCGGATCATGTATACAACTCAGTAATGCCCGTATCCCTGACAGGGTATAAATCTGAAACACATATAATGTCATCAATTAACATTGCTTGAGTTAAGAAGACATAAACAAAAAACAGAAGAGAACATGTTCCAAGCACAAATTGACATAGAATAAAGTGAACAGAGCAGTTGGGTACAGACATCAGCCAAACCTCATATGAGCCCCTTTAGATGACGAATGTGATGTAATACGAAGTGAGAGGCATAATTTAAACATTTTACAGTAATAAAATATTCTATCATCTAGGCACTGGTATTCTCCTCTTGCATTTTCTACAGCATTTGTAATAAAAAGTTCAGATCTTATATTGGTCCTGGGCATATTATGTATGCTTAATGCATTTATTCAGATAATTAGTTGCATCATACAGGTGGCTGAGAAAGATGATGTGGCTGCAAGATCAAAGAAGACACAAGGAGACACAAGAATGATGCCTTTTCAACCAAAACCCAGTGACTCAATTCAGTGACCCTGATTCAGCAAGTCACAATGACACTCAAGACACCTTAATGTGCAATTATATAACTAAAGGCAAATTTTTTTTTTCGTTTTGAATAGAGGGAAAGGGATTGGAACACCTGTTGGGTTTTCATTGCTCTGTGCCCCATTAGGGAAATTCACCCTCTCTATTTGTCCTGTTAACCATTAATATTGAAAGTGATAGTAAAAGTAAAAGAAAATCCAAAATTTTGGGTTCTCCCCAGAAAAGTAAATAGAGGGAAAATCTTCCAATAAGGGCACTAGTTCTGGTGACATGGGGGCCCTAAGGGATTCTCCTAATTTGCATGGATTTCCTCTCACTTCCTGTTGTGGCTATGGGACAGAAAGTGAAGGGAAATCTCCCCAATGGAATACATATGGAAAAAATAAATTGGCAGAGGTTATAACCCACCCTTACTCTATACATTACATTACACTTTACACTAATACAGTTAAGTAGTTACATATCTACACCTCCTTCTCTCTAGTTCCCTGGTCTCCTCCTCCCATGCCCGCCTCCAGGACTTCTCCAGGGTGTCACCCATCCTCTGGAACTCCCTGCCCCAACCCATCAGATTATCACCTGATTAATGTTACAGCAGAAATCCAGGCAAAAATGTTTTTGAACCATGCATTGCATGGGCTAACTGCTCGTTTTTGTTTAGGGGTGATATAACAGCGAAGATATACAGTCAGGTCCATAAATATTGGGACATCGACACAATTCTAACATTTTTGGCTCTATACACCACCACAATGGATTTGAAATGAAATGAACAAGATGTGCTTTAACTGCAGACTGTCAGCTTTAATTTGAGTGTATTTACATAAAAATCAGGTGAACGGTGTAGGAATTACAACAGTTTGCATATGTGCCTCCCACTTATTAAGGGACCAAAAGTAATGGGACAGAATAATAATCATAAATCAAACTTTCACTTTTTAAATACTTGGTTGCAAATCCTTTGCAGTCAATTACAGCCTGAAGTCTGGAACGCATAGACATCACCAGATGCTGGGTTTCATCCCTGGTGATGCTCTGCCAGGCCTCTCCTGCAACT